AATTCCTGGGCTCAAGCGATCCTCCTGCCTCAGATTTCTGAGTAGCTGGAACTATAGGCGCTCACCACAGAAACTGGCTGATTTTTCTATTTTATGTAGAGATTGGGTCTCAATCTTGCTCAAGATAGTCTTGAACTCCTGAGCTCAAGCAATCCTCCTGCCTCAGGCTCCCAGAGTGCTAGGATTACAGGCATAAGCCACCTTTTCCAGCCTCTACAATACTTTTATAAGGCAAATCAGATCACCTACTCCTACTTATAACCCTCAATGGTTAGGCAGTTTGAAGGGTAGTCTAGGATGAACATCTGCTAAAGGCACCAAGGCAGCCATCGTCTAGCTAGGCATGGGTTTGTGGAAAGGCAAGAACAGCAAAGGCTAGAAGGCTTCCAGTGCTATGCAGTGGACCTGGGGCTTCAGTCCATGGATTATAGGTTTTTGCACTCAGACACCTGGAGGCAGTGGTACACTGAATTTACGCAGTGGCTTTTTAATCTGTTATGGTTCAGATTTTATAAAACAGCTCAGTGGACAGATCTGTGAAGACTGACTAATAACACAATCACCAGAAAGCTGGGTAGGGATGAAAGTAAGACCTGAAAAGTTCTAGTTCTAGAAAAAAAGAGAAATCAAAGGACAGATTTCATTGAGGTCAAAGAGGAAATGATGTGGCAGTTAGTGAAGGAGGTAAGACACTGTATTCAATAAGAGAACACTAAGTGTTCCTAACTTACTTATATAATGGAGAGAAGGGGATGGTAAGTGTGGGGGCTGTACTGTGGCGGGAGTGATTAAGGCCGTAGAGCTACCACAAGGAGAGGGCATCTCTCACAACAGAGGAGGGCAGGAGTTACGAAGGAGAAAGCTCACTGAAGATCTACTTCACTCAATGTGAGCAGATGGCCTGGAGTTGAACCCTGAAGGACACTGGGTGACAAAGCTGGTGGCAATGAGCTATAGGAGGGGTGGGTGCACACGTGCAAGGACACCCGTTTGGAGGCAGCAGTGCAGATCATGGTGAGAAGCAAGTTAACAGCTTGCATTTCTGAGGTGAGAAGACTGAGGGACAGTGAAGCCTGTGCTGAGGGGTTGGGGGGAGGGTGTCTCAGTTAAATCAGCAGGGGAAGGAGCCCCCAGTTCTACAGGACTGCTGTAAGGAAGGGAAAGCATGTGGAGACCTGATGATGAGGGCCAGTAGGTGTTAAGGGCTCTGGGAGGTAGCTCTTACTTTTCACCATGATTTTCTCTACCCTGACTTTCATCTATCACACTTTTGTCAAGGCAGACCTAAGGAGAAATTGTGGCAGTTTATGTACGGTAGCTCAACACAGCCACTCTGTAAAATGTGCACTAATCCTACTGCCTCTACCCATGTCTCACTGTTTAATCTCTTATTTTTGTCTTGACAATTCAATTTTTTTTTTTAAATTTCAGATTAATACAAGGGTACAAAAGATTAGGTTATAATTTAGATAAAGTCCCTGTTGTTTTGTCCCGCACCCAGGAGGTGTGCCATATATCCTTACATTGTGCCCATTAGGTGAGAGCATACCAATTCCCCTCTCTCCCTCTTCTCCTCCCCAACTTGAACTGAATGGGGTTTTTCTCTTGGGTGAGCGTGTATTAGATCATCTACTGGCTTCATTACTAGTATTGAGTACACTGGATACTTGGTTTTCCATTATTGTGATATTTTACTAAGAAGAACGTGTTTCAACTCTATCCAGGAAATAACAATTGTTAACACTTCCTTACCCTAGCATTCCCCCACCAGTGCTTTTTTTTAACTGTGAGGATTTTATATATGTTTTAAATGATGACAACTGAGCAATATCTAACAAAATACACAAAGCCATACCTGACACAAAGTGATCACCAAACATATCAGTATGTGCCAGGAATGTGGTCAGCATTGTGGCAATGAGAAAGTGAATAAAAAGCATTAGAGAAAAGTGAAATTTATTAATTTGCTCAAATCCAAATCTTCTTTGTGGCAGACAAAGAAGGTTCTGAATTCAACTCTCTCTACCCTAGCACCCTCTCACTTTCCAAGCCCACCATACACACACACTCTCAATCTCTCCCAGCACCTCCTACAGATCCAACACTGTGCTAGACAGTGTACGGACAATGGCAGGCAAGATATGCCTTCTCTAAAATCTATAGTTCATCAGTTTCCTGCAAAAGGCAGAGATGAAGAAAGAAAGAGTACCCTGGGTTGCAGGGAAAGCAGGAAACAGAAAATGAGAAATGGTAAGAGGTAGGAGGGACTGGACCGAGAGGGTGGGAATGAAGAAAAGCAGGTGCTGACTGTAAAGAAGGAAGCAAGCGGAAAGCTCCTGAGAGCATGTCCTATTTGTCATTCTGTCTGAAGTACCTACTCTTCTGCCAAAACAAGTAATAAAAACCAATTTTCATCACTAAACATACCATTTCTCCTTTGGAGTTGGCACCTCTTGATATACTGATTGCCTAAGTGTACGTGTATATTTTACTCTTAGTAAATGCTTTGGAGAAGCCTTACACACTTTGAATTCCATTCTTAAAAATACTCTATGAGTCCTCAGAGTAAATAAATTAAATATATAATTTGTTGTACAAAGTGGGGCACACACAAGTAAGGAGGAGTGCTGTTAGTGATAACACACAGGCAGCAGGTATAAACTGGGACCCTCCCAGGCACTGTCTCCCTGCTAGACATCAACAAAGAGGATAGGCCTGCTCATTAGAACATGGAAGGCCTACTGCTATCCCAGGAAGGTGTTTTCTTTTGGCTGTCCTCAATCTCTCACTGAGATCAATCTGTGACAGAGTTTTCAATGGTTTCCTCAAAACAGAGAGCCCTAAGATACTTTTGCAGTAATTTTAGAATCTGTGGGATAATCAGACATCCTGGTGATCCATAGTTAGTAGAAAGGCTTATATAGGCACTCCTAGTAATCCCAGCTACTTGGGAGGCTAAGGCAAGAGAACTGTTTAAGCCCAGGAGTTGGATGTTGCTGTGAGCTGTGATGCCACAACACTCTACCCAGGGCAACAGCTTGAGACGCTGTCTCAAAAAAAAAAAAAAAAAAAAAAATTGAAAAACAGACTAAAGAACTATTTGGAATTGGTATTTTCTTCCCTGAAACTAGTTTCTCTCACTCTTTTCCAACTCTGTAAATGACAAGTCCATATTCCACGTTGCTCTGGCCAGCTGAGTCCTTGATTTCACTTTCCTTCACACCTTTAACACCCAAATGTGTTAGCAAATTCTGTAATCCTACCTCAAAATAGGCTTGGCACCTGTAGCTCAGCGGCTAGGGCACCAGCCACATACATGGGAGCTGGTGGGTTCAAATCCAGCCCAGGTCAGCCAAGCAACAATGACAACTGCAACCAAATAATAGTCAGGCGTTGTGGCGGATGCCTGTGGTCCCAGCTACTTGGGAGGCTGAGGCAGGAGAATCGCTTAAGCCCAGGAGTTTGAGGTTGCTGTGAGCTGTGATGCCATGGCACTCTACCCAGGCAACAGCTTGAGACTCTGTCTGAAAAAAACCTACCTCAAAATATACTGAGAATCCGGACAGTTTCCCTCCTATGATTGATCACTTTAGACACAAAAATTAAGAAATGACAACACAAAGAGTGGCTAGAAAAATGAAACTCTTGGCTTACTTGTCATTTTTAATATGTTCATAAAGGCGCTTAAACTGGCGGACCTGGAAGGACAAGATTCCCATCAATACCACGACCATCAGTAAAAATGGATAAATCCGTCGATGGACTAAGTTTTGCATTTCCGCAGTAACACCTGTAAAACCAAAAAAAGAAAAACTTATTCATGTGGAATTAACAGTGACATGAAGTATGTCCTTTCCCTAGGAAGCATGGCCTGGGAAATGGTAGAGCAGACTTTTAAGGTAAGCTTTCTAAGCCCTAGGTCTATTGACTTTTTTATAATCTATGTGGGTCATGTGCCCTTCCTTTCTCCTCTGGAAAATGCAGGAGCTGGATTAGATGACTACTAAGGTCCTCCTAGCTCAGGTAGGATTCTAATGCTCCACAAGCAGTGGTGTCATTTATATATTTCAACCACTTTACAGTTTACAAACACAAACAAAAACTATAAAACTATGATTATATAATGAAAAATATGTTCCTTGAACCTTTATAACACTCTGATATTTGTTAGTCTACATTTAACTCATGAGTTTTAACTCTTCCTTGGCTGAAGGAGGACAGAAGGAGGCTTTAAAATCTGAGGAACTATTTCCAAGGAAATAAAAAAACTTGTGCAGTGTGCTGTAACAGAAAGAGCATGAGCTTTGCAACTGAGCCTAGAGTCTGAATTCTGCTCCTAATTGTTGAAATCTAGACCCTAGGCAAGATTTTGAGGTTCTATGAACCTGAATTTCCTTATATCTAAAATGCAGTTGATAAAAAACATATTCAAAGGCCATTGTAAGAATATAAGAATTATGTAAAGCATCTAAACCAGGTAAAAAAGTGCTAAAAATGTGCAATTAACAATTTTTTCCCTTCAGAAGTCTTTCCAACAAAACTCATAATAAAATTTTTAATAATGTAAATATGTTAAGGTTTTAGCTTAGAAATCCATATAGTAATTCTTAAGTCTATATACTATTAGTGGGAAGAATCTAATATATATTAGTGGAAGGATATTAAAAAAGAAAATAGATACTCCTACTAGAGCCAAAACAGTAAAGTGTCTAAATGAGTAATTTTTTTTTTTTTTGAGACAGAGTCTCATGCTGTTGCCCAGGCTAGAGTGTTGTGGCATCAGCCTAGCTCACAGGAACCTCAAACTCCTAGGCTCAAGCAATCCTCCCACCTTAACCACCTGAGTAGCTGGGAGTAGCTGAGATAGGCACCCACCACAATGCCCAGCTAATTCTTCTATTTTCAGTAAAGATGAGTCTTGCTCTTGCTCAGGGTGGTCTTGAGCTCCTGAACTCAGGGGATCCTATCACCTTGACCTCACAGTGTGCTAGAATTACAGGCATAAGCCACAATACCTGGCCTAAATGATTAATTTTAATGAAGCATTCAACAAAGCAATGGGCTTTAAAACGTATATATACCGTGTTTCCCCGAAAATAAGGCACTGTCTTATATTTATTTTTTCTCAAGAAGACACACTAGGGCTTATTTTCAGGGAATGTCTTCCTCTCTGTGCCGAAATGCATAGCATGGCAGATACGCTGCATAGCCACACCTATCACTAGGTCGTCTTATAGGGGTAGGGCTATAACAAATGCATAGAAATCTTGCTAGGGCTTATTTTGGGGGTAGGTCTTTTTTTGGGGAAAACACAGTGTGTGTGTATATATATTTCTTCTTCTTATTTTTTTTTTTTTTGAGACAGAGTCTCACTATGTCGCCCTCGGTAGAGTGCCATGACGTCACAGCTCACAGCAACCTCAAATTCTTGGGCTTAAATGATTCTCTGGTCTCAGCCTCCCAAGTAGCTGGGACTAAAGGTGCCTGCCACAATGCCTGGCTATTTTTTGTTGCGGTTGTCATTGTTGGTTAGCTGGCCTGGGCCGGGTTCTAATTCACCACCTTCAGTGTATGTGGCCAGCACCATGACCACTGTGCCGTGGGTGCTGAGCCTAAAATGTATATTGTTTTGAGATAGGGTCTTGCTGAGTTGTCCCAGAAAAGAATACAGGGGCATCATATAGCTCATTGCAACCTCCAACTTCCCAGCTTAAGCAACCCTCTTGCCTCAGCCTCCCATGTAGCTGGGACTAACAGGTGCACACAACTTCACTCAACTAATTTTACTATTTTGTGTATGAGTGTGTCGCTGTTGTTGTCTCACTCTTGCTCAAGTTTCAAATATTCCTGCATGTATATTTTAATATGGTATGTATGGGTATGTATGATATTTGGCATAGTCACCATTACAACCAAATAAAAGTCTTTAAGTTTCTATTGAGAAGAAACCAGAAAACAATTAATTCCGTTTGCTCGTTGTGGCTCTTCAGGTTAACTGTTCCCTGTGTTCCATGCCATCCTACAGACTTATGGACACATCACTTGGCCTTCCTCTATCAAACCTGTGCTTACCTTGCTTTCTGCCTAAAATCTATATTCAGGGCCAACCATGGTGGCCCACACCTGTAATCCTAGCACTTTGGGAGACCGAGATGACTGGATTATTTGAGTACAGAAGGTCAAGACCAACCTGAGCAAGAATGAGATCCCGTCTCTACTACAAACAGAAAAATTAGCCGGCTCGGCAACTATAGCTCAACCGGCTAAGGCGCCAGCCACGTACATCTAAGGTGGCGGGTTCGAATCCCCAGCCCGGACCCGCCAAACAACAATAATGGCTGCAACCAAAAAATAGCCGGGCGTTGTGGCGGGCGCCTGTGGTCCCAGCTACTTGGGAGGCAGAGGCAGGAGACTCGCTTGAGCCCAGGAGTTGGAGGTTGCTATGAGCTGTAATGCCATGGCACTCTACCCAGGGGGACAGCTTGAGGCTCTGTCTCAAAAAAAAAAAAAAAAAAAAAAAAAATTAGCCAGGAATTGTGGTGGGTGCCTATAATCCCAGCTACTTGAAAAGTTGAGGGAGGAGGATCATCCAAGCTCGGGAGTTTAAAGACCCCATCTCTAAAAATAGCTGGGCATTGTGGTGGTACCTGTAGTCCCAGCTACTTGGGAGACTGAGGCAAGACAAGAGGATTATTGCTCAAGACCAAGAGTTTGCAGTTCCTGTGGGCTATGATGCCACGGCACTCAACCCAAGGTGACTAAGTGAGACTCTGTCTATAAATAAATAAATAAATAAAATAAAATCTGTATTCACTGAGAACAATGAGACTATTCGAAGTCAAGCAAGGGTTTCTCTGAAAGATAAAGGTCACCCACAAAGGGCACTTCTAAGGGGCTGGGAAAGTTCTATACATACTTGTGTTCATGCTACACTTCAACAGAAAGTCTGGTTATGTTTTTAAGCCCCTCTCTCATAGTTAGGTAAAAAAGAGAAGGCCATTTCTGGTAGAAGAATACGACAAAAGTATAGAGAGAAGAGTGAGATGAGGACATAGTATGTTTGAGAAAAGGCTATTCTGTAGTTCTGTAATGAAAACTCAGAGCACATCGCACAGACTGAGACCAAATCAAGTCCAGATCAAAGCAAGAAAATGTAAAATATTTTCTTATAAAACTTGCCAAAGAGTCAGATTGTATTAAAGGCCACAGAGGAACCAACAAAAAAGGTTCACCAAAGAGGTACAGGGAGTTTCATTCCTTTGAGAGGTCTTGTGGCTGCAGGGTAAGGAATGAATTAGTATTAGCAGGTTCAAAGCTAAGAAAGCAGATAGGAGGCTGCTGAAGTTAAGGTGAGAGACAACACCGCAACAAAAGTCACAAGCAAAGGCACAAGAGAGACCACTGAGCTATGGAGAAAAGATGCATAAAGCAACATGGATAGCCCTCAAGGTTTCTGATGTACACAATTTGCTGGATAATAACATTAGTCACTAAGAGAATTCAGGGGACGGAGAAGATTTGGAGGGGAATCTTTGTGCTAATGCTTGTAAAAATATGCTGTGTTTAAGGTCTTGTGAGGATTTTTCAGTATACAATCAACAAGATGAAGTCTTTTAAGTTAAGGACCTGTTAGACATTATTATCTCCTCTTTGGTTTTTTTTTTATCCTTAAGAATTTTTTTAAATGAGCCATGCTGATACTTTTGCTTAATTTCTAAGTATATAATCACAGCACTTCTACTCAGAAGAAAACCTAAAGGAAACCTAACCCTGCCTCCTGGTACAATATATATAATGTACAGCATATACTTTCAATGCTTTATCACCCATGTAGAGAAAAAAAAGTACCAAAGAACATCATGACCTCCACATCTTAATCCACAAAGTCAAATCTAAAGTAGTATTTTGAAATCATGTCTTTAGCTAAATAAAGTTCCTGCAGTCATAGAGCCTTTGTTACTGGAAGCAACAAGAATGTAGTGATATTAATAAAAGTGCTCTTTTAAGGCTCTACAACCGGTATTACTCACCTAGTAAAGGAACAATGCCAGATGCTATGACATACGGTACACACAGGGAAAGCAAGAGCACAGAGATCACTGGAGCTGCCAGTTTACGAATGATATAGTGAAGGTCAATGTTCCGGATGCCATTTGCATACACCTGAAACATTGGGGAAAAAAATAATTAGGACAAAGATAAAGGACAAATTCTTCCCGATTAATAGATCGATCTCTACTAAATCACAATAAACTGAATCCTCTAACCTGAAAGGATTCAAACTAAACAGTAATGATTTTCCAAACTCAAAGCAAATTGTGTAATAGAAACATAAGCACAGCACCCACACGTTTCTGAAGAAGCGCATTTACCTACCAACACTTTGCAGTTAACTCAGCTAAGTGATAAGACACTAATCTAGAATCATAACTTATGCTATCCTTGCACTACATGATACCAGATGACAGTCAATGTTACTTGAAGAACACATAACTTGAGGTTATGTGGTCCATATATATCTTATGTAAGAGTGACTTGTATTATTATTCGAGATTGCACTCATTTTATCTGAATGTGACGAGAAAACCCTATAAATAGAAAACATGTTCTAAAAAGTTTGTATAAATCAAATTTTAAAAAATCAGAAGGTATTTTATGTTTAAAAACTTAGTATGAAGGAATTCTATAGTAAATACAAAATCCAAGAATTTCTAGAATGTGCCATCATCTTATCCAGAAAGTTCTACTAGATAGTACTGTAGGAAAGATTGGATGAAAGTGGAAAAACCTTGGGAATGGCAAATATGGATAGAGTGCACAGAGGGACAAGATAGAAGAGTGTTGTTCTTGTTTTCTTCCCCTCTTAGTCCAGTTACCCAATGTAGAAGTAACTCAGTAACATAGCCTCAAGGATTTAAACAATAAACAGGCTTAATCCTTCAAAGGCATTCTTCCATTCCCCAAGACACCTAGTTAACACACATGCATTTTAATTAAGGAAGCCAGGCACCTCAGTGTTTCTCAACCAATCTAAACCATTTTACTTAAATTTATACACATACGTGCCCACACAGAAACATACATGTATGAGAAAATAATGCATTAGAGAACAAAACATTAAAAAGAGCAGTGATGTTTCTGCCTCCAGCCATGAATTAAACCCTTATCCCTACACATCTTTGTAAGAGCCAGAGTCTTACTTACCTGGAGACTGGAGTGGACTGATCTATACTCTGAAGCCAATCCCAGTGGCTTTCACAATTAGCCCATATAGTAACATGCAAACACACAGCAATTCCTTAGCTTCCCCAACCCCATTCCTAAGAATCAAAATCTTGAGATAGAGGCATTTTCTTGACTAATTTTCTTGTGTACAGGCCAAGAACTGTCATCTTTACTGCCCAAATATCAAACGGGGTGTGCCTTCACTGCAGAACTGTATCACCTTTTTTATCTGGTGCTGGCCTAAAAGAGCTGCCCACAAGTACATTTTCTAGGTAATGTACTAAAAACCTAAGTACCAAAATCTGTCATATTGGCTATTTTAAATAGAAATTTTCCTAAAATGAATTACCATACTTCCTAGTCTTATTATCAGAGTACAAGCACATCTATCTTTTTCAAGATTATCGCCAAAACAACCAAATTATCTGACAGTTGCATAATACAATAATAAATAGTCTTAGGTGCTGTATTCTGAAATAGCTCTGCTTTTTTAATGGTTTTTTTTTTCACTCTTGTCTTTTATTAACTGCCTTAAGGAATAAGCCCTTTCCTCCTGTCTGCTACAGGCTTAGAAATATTAATATCAAGTTTTATCAGAATTTGTGCCCTGTGAAAAGCACTTTCTGCTTCTATTGTGGACAGGATTCTAGGCCCTTTAAGATACTGATTAACCTTCAGGTAAGGGAAGACTTACAAGTAGCTGGTGAAAATTCATAGCAGTGTCAACCTAAAAGTAGAAGCTAAGGCAAAAGTAATATATGAAGAGTTTATTTGGGCCAAGATTGAGGACTGCAATCCAGGACACAGATTGGAGTTGCCCTGAATATACAACTCAATTAGCAGCAGGTTTCCAAGTAGGTTTTTAAAGGTAAAAAAGGTGGGGGAGATGAGGTAGGAGGCAGGGAGTGCTGATACAAAGCTGTTTGTCAGGAACTCTCATTGGTTTAGAGAAGTAGCACTGATCAGTGAACAGCGACTATATGTTGTTAAGCTATAAAGTATGGTTTATAGTGTCCTGTGGAAATAACAGACAATTTCCAGAGATGAATACATAGCTCAAAGGAGGGCAGGGGTAATAAGAAATTAAGTGTGGTCTCACTTTATATCTTTCCAGGCTAATAATAAAAGGATTTGCATTCCTCAGATAAAAATTCCTTTCTTTTCTTAGTAGCTTGGAAGACCAGAATATCCCACCTCAAAATATGTCTCTTTTGCATTAAGGATCATTTTGAGCTGATGGCAGCTAAGAAATAGCAGAAGCAAAAAAGCTCCCTGTCCTCCCTCTACCTGCCTAAAAGCAGGTCATAAATTTACAAAGATTAAAGATGACCTACCATCCTCCTCACCAGGAAGGACAAAGGTCAACCTGATGACAGCTTAGGATGCTTGTGGGCCTGGACATGGCACTAGAGAGGCCTAGATCAACAAGCTTTACTAACTGGCCTTTAGCTATGCCACCTGTTTGCCTTCCCCCCAAGCTGCTGTCTCTAGGGGCTCAAACTTTGTCATTTTCCTGAATTTATTATTCTTTCTTGAAGATTCACTGGCACATAAAGTGACGTCTTTGAAAATTACTCATTCTCTGGGTATCTCCTATGTAGATATGAAGTGTGTATTTTAATACAACTTGTTTTTCTCTTGTTAATCTTTTATTATAGACATCCGTTCTGACTGAAAACATATGAGGGTTGAGGAAAACATAATTTTTCTTTCTTTACAAGCAAACCAAAACTGCCTTCTCTCTTAAAAAAAAAAAAAAATTATATATACTCATTAAAGAAAATGTGGAAGACTTAGAAAAGTAAAAAAATTATAACTAAGAGTTATATCAGATGACTCATGCCTGTAATCCTAGCACTCTGGGAGGCTGAGGTGGACAGATCACCTGAGCTCACGAGTTTGAGACCAGCCTGAGCAAGAGTGAGACCCCATCTCTAAAAAACAGCTGGGTGTTGTGGCGGGTGCCTATAGTTCCAGCTACTTGGGAGGCTTAGGCAAGAGAACTGCTTGAGCCCAAGAGTTTGAGGTTGTTGTGAGCTATGATAACAAGGTACTCTACTGAGGGTGACAAAGTGAGACTGTGTCTCAAAAAAAAAAAAAAAAAATCAAGTTCTATTAGCCAAACACAATCACAACCAGTTCTAGATTGTCTTGCTCTGAAAACTGATTTTGCTTACCTGTTCAATTACAGTTTTCAGCCACCACTGAGGACCCATCAGCGTTATAGCTGCTATGATCTTGGCATGCAAGACTCCAAGTGCCCAGTCCTAGAATAATAAAAACCACTTTAACACACTTCTGTTGTTTTTAACAACAAACCTAGCAAGAAGTCTGTATAATATTTTTTCATTATTTCACTTCAAATCAGAAGTTCTGTAGGACTGGTTAACAATTTTATAGAAGATTATTATATACTGGAAAATCCAGGGTTTTTTTTTTTTAATCCAATATTCAATGTTTCCATCAAAAATCATTCATGTATCTTTCAGAAATTTACATGATTTTCCCAACATAATTGGGCTAGACCTTAATGGAGAGCTTAATAAACAACCGAAATAAATACCATTATTTTATTTCTTTTTTTTTGGAGAGTCTCACTATGTCATCCTGAGTAAAGCGCCATGGCATCACAGTTCACAGCAACCTCCAATTCTTGGGCTTAAGAGATTCTCTTGCCTGCCTGAGCCTGCCAAGTATCTGGGACCGCAAGGACCCACTACCATGCCTGGCTATTTTTTGTTGCAGTTGTTTAGTCGGCCTGGGCTAGGTTCGGTGTACATGGCTGGCAATGTAACCACCCTGCTACAGGCGCTGAGCCTTATCATTTTATTTAATCAAACCATCCTTAGGCTATTTTACTGGTTTTAACCGAGCTGATTTAGGACAAAGTAAGACTATGGAGCTAAGTCTGGCTTAAGAAACCTTTCCTTAGCCAGGCATTGTGGCAGGCACCTGTAGTCCCAGCTACTTGGGAGGCTGAAGCCAGAGAATCGCTTAAGCCCAAGAGTTTGAAGTTGCTGTGAGCTGTAACGCCATGGCACTCTACCGAGGGTGACATAATAAGATTCTGTCTCAAAAAAAAAAAAAAAAAGAAAGAAACCCTTCCAAAGGCTCACAAATAGCTTCCGGTGTGGAGCATGTCCAGTTCTACTGAGCTCTTACTAGGCTCCTCATGGTACACCTGCCTCTAGCCAGAGTGACTGCCACACCCTACCACATCATGTCTTAAAAAATGAAAATTAGATCACAGAAGTAGACTTCACTGCTTAGCGACCTTAAAGTACTTTTTAGCATGGGACACAAAATCCTTCAAAGGTTAGTCTTTATCTTTAAAAAAAAACAGCCCATGTAACACTTAGGTCTATTCTCACCATAAACCAAAAATTACACAGAGAAGGCTAGAGTACTCTGTGATTACTACCTCAAATAGTATCCTGATTCCTCCCAGCAATAAACACAGTTGCATTTGGTATGTATTAACCACAGTTCTTCCCTATGCATTCGCATCTATCCATGTATGTGTCCCATAGAAAATATGCAGTATCATTTTTATACAACATTTGCTCATTTTGTTTATTCTCCTCTTCATTGTTTACCATCTCGAGGCCAACGTTCTCATTTACTGGACTAGTGCTCTAAGAATCTTCTTCAAATAGGGTGAGGTTGATACCTTGAATACCCTCAAATGTCAATCAACATCGTGACAGGTGAATGGCTAAATGACATTTTGTCTGGGAATAGGAAACTTGGTTTTTGTCACTTTCATCTCAGTTGTCTATAAACTCTCCTCTATCTTATGGCTTTCAGTGCTATAGAAAAAAAGTTCAACAGCACTATGTGTGTTTTTGTAGAGACAGAGACTTTATCATCCTGGCTAGAGTGCCATGGAGTCACACAGCCCACAGCAACCTCCAACTCTTGAGCTTAGGTGATTCTCTTGCCTCAGCCTTTGACAGTCCCGAGTAGCTGGGACTACAGGCGCCCACCACAATGCCCAGCTATTTTTTTGTTGCAGTTTGGCTGGGGCTGGGTTTGAACCCACCACCCTTGGTATATGGGGCCGGCGCCCTACCCACTGAGCCATAAGGGCTGCCCAGCACTATGATTTTTGTTTAAAGTCTGTTAAGATTTCTTTTTAGCTTCAGAATTAAAAACTTTTACCCATATTTACCCAAATGTTTTCCTATAATCTCATTTCATCAATCTCATCTCATAAAATCTAATGACCCTGTGCAACCTACAGAATCAGATCTTTCTTCAATTCAGTTAATTTTTTCTATTTTTGTTTCCATGCTGACTCACATTTTCTCCTTCTGGAAACCCCACTACTACTATATTAAGTCTCCTGCACATATTCTCCAAAACACTTTTCTTTCCCTTCAACTCCCATTTCAGTTATGCTCTGTTTTTCATTGATCCTCCAGGGCCTCCAATCCAAGCCCAATGGTGACCAACCAGATCTTCATTCATCTACTGAATTGGCTTGGAATTCATACTAGACAGCTTCACAATTTGTGCTCTGATTTAGTGCTGCTATTTGTGTGCTGAGTGTGCACAAAGTAGTGTGTTCACTCTCCTCGCTGGAAACTCATGGCTCTGCAACCGCTCTGTCACGGGCATGTAATCTGACTCTCTGCTTGAGCTTTCTGTGGCTGCTGAACCCTCCTTATATAAAGCACTTAGTTCCTCTGCAGCATCAAGGAAGCTCAGGTCTGACTAAGGATATCATAAAGGGTTTCAAAGGAATCTTTTATCCCCCTAGACCTTTGACAGAGCAAGCCAATAGTCTCCTACTGAGGAACACGGAGAAAACTTCTTTGCTTTTTCTATATCTTTCCAGGCTCACAGGCAGGCAAGATCGAACTCACCAATTCAGCTTTCTCTCAGACCTATGGGAGTCTATAATTTTTTCTTAAGAGAGGGAGGTCTGACTCTGTTCTTTAGGCAGTAGCACTATAATAGCCCACTGAATCTTCAAACTTCTGGGCTCAAGTAATCTTCCCGTATCAGCCTTCCAAGGAGCTATGACTACAGGCACATGCTCCCATGCCCAGCTAATTTTGTTGTTGTTGTCATTGTCTGGCAGGCCCAGGCTAGATTAGAATCCACAAGCTCTGGTATATGTGGCCGGCACCCTTAGCCACCGAGCTATAAGCGCCAAGCCTGCTCAGCTAATTTTTAAAAATTCTTCTACAGATGACATCTCACACATTGCCTAGGTTGATCTCAAATTCTTGTGCTCAAGTGATCCTCCCACCTCAGCTTCTCAAGCAGTTGGAATTATAGCCACAAGCCACCATGCCTGGCTGCTGTTAAAAGACATTTGACATGTGGTCATAAAAGGCAATGCATCTTCTACCTAGTTTGTGGAGACACTCATTTCCCTAAGACAGCAATATAAGAAGCCCAACTACATTGAGGCTACCAAGCTATAAAAGAAGCCCAGGCACATCTAGAAGCTCTAGCTGATAGCCCCAGATGGGTACCAACCAACAATTAGTCTCAACCCCAAAATTACCAATGATGTTATCGCCAAATGATCCCAGCCATCGCTGTCAAATCACTCCCAGCCATGACCCCAGATACCATGAATACAGACAAACCAATATGCCCTATCTTAACTTCTGACCCATAGACACTGTTAGTAAAATTAAAATGGTTGTCTTAAGCCACTAAGTTGTAGGATAACTTGTTACAGAGCAGTAACTGAAGACCCATCAACCTTTCGCTGAATCAATTATTCTGTTAGGTACCACAAAATAGTAATTTTGTAATTCTGTTTACCTCTCTACCTTTATTAGCTGTAAAAATAAAAAAAATAGCTTTTCTTCCATTATTGCTGGTACTTAACTACCTTACAATATAGCTTTTACAGAAAGACATTAACATGCTTAATTATAGGTGCTCCTTGACTGAAGATGGGGTTACCTCCTGATAAACCCACCATAAGTTGAAAACAGTTAAGTCAAAAAAGCAGTTAATACACCTAACATGTCAAACATCACAGCTTAGCCCAACCTAACTTAAACATGTTCAGCATATTTATAATAGCCTAAACTTGGACAAAATCATTTAACACGAAGTCTATTTTACAATGAAGTACTGAACATCTCACACAATCTACTAAATAACATACTAAAAGTGAAAAACAGAACAATTGTGTGGGTACTCAAAAGTACAGTTCCTATGGAATGTATATCACTTTCATACCATCACCATGTTATAGGCAAAAATTCATAAAGTTGTAAGCCAGGTCTGTACTTTTCTTTATTACTTATTTCTCTCATCAATTCTAGTCTATGAGCCAGATTAGAAAAGAGGCAGTTCCCCATATATGCATGCTCTGTCTCACTTCCACGCCTGCCCTTTGGCTCTTTCCTGGAATATATGTATAACCTCCATAGTTGACCACCTCCCTACACTGTTAAGGATCCCTCTCCTACAGCGCTCTGGGCTTCCCTTAATCACACAACAGAATGCCTGTGCTCCTGTAGCTTTCCTACCAGAATATAAGGGCCTTAGGAAGTTTCCCTATTAGCTTCATTTTCATCTGTGTTACAGGATACAGGGTTTGGAACCATTTTAAAGCACTTAAGTAAATGTTTTCATGTAAATGAAGTTTAGGGAGGTCCTCTACCTGGAAAGCAGAGGAAGGAAAATATGGTCCCCAAAATTTTCAATGTCAGAAAAATATACTATAACACACCATGATTAAAACAAAGCATTAAAAGCCTTTGAATGACTGAAATCAACGCCTCGTTTTTTCCCCTTATATTTACTATAGTGTTAAGAACCTCAGGTTACAAATACAATAAAGAAGGTCTTTTTCCATGAGCTTTAAGACTTTTGCTGGGTCCTACATGGGTCCCCCTACAATGCTCTTTTTAATGAGTTATAATTTTGTTGGAAAACATGCTGTAATTATTCAAAGGTATTCAAGTCTCAAAGTCAAAAGGAACAAGATATTTCACTCTATTTCAAAGGTAAAAAAAAATCCACACAAACTAGTTTGTTATCTTTAAACAACGGAGAAGCCCAAATGAATAGACAGTGATGTTTTAACCTATAATGTAAGCTCTTCTCTAAAAGAGTTATATGACCTGCGTATTTTGGAAGCAAAAGATTAAAGGGCAGTAATTAACCTTTTACAAAGGTTCCTAGAATGGAAAAAAAGTTAGGGAGTCTTTCTAAACCAACTGCTTAAAATCACTTATAATATACTTAATCATTATTTTCTGATCCCAAATCTTCAATGAAATAAAAGCAAAAGATATCCATTTACCTGCCATGGATAAAAAAGAGGAGTCTGATCCAAGGGAACCCTCAGGGGAGCAACAATAACCAGCTCAAACAGGAGCCCCAGGAGGAGAGGGACAACTCCAGCTAGCAGCACTGCAACTATCAAAGTCTTCATTATCTATTAGGAAACAAGGAACCACATCATTGAAGAGAATCTTTTGGACTTTAAGCCAAACTCTTTATTCCATTTTGAGGTTTATTTTTCTTCTTGGGTCTGATGCCTAAGAGAACTACTTGGTTCCACAGGCAACTGGTTCCAGGACTCCTACATAGACCAAAATCTGCAAGTGCTCAAGTCCATTATATAAAATAGCATAGTATTTGCACATAACCCACACACATCCTCTTGTATACTTTAAATCTCTAGATTACTTATGATACCTAATACAATGTAAATGCTAGGTAAATAGTTGCTATACTATATTGGTTTAATTTTTTTTATTACTCTATTGTTATTTTTCCCCCTAAATTTTTGACCCATGGAGGTGGAAGGCTAACTATATTACCTTAAACAACTTACACTTTATGTTACATGTTTCAATGAGATTTCTTAAATATGTGACTGTAAGGGTTCAAAAGATAATGAAAACCTGAAATTACTATGCATTGCTAGTATAAAAAGGGGAAATTACAGACAATTCCTTTTCCTATATACTATATATTAATAGGCGGCTGTGCTGTTTTTCTCACAATGTCATTCTTAGAACTAGGCTTCTGTTCGTCCAAGAAAAGCCAGTGATTGGCCAAGGTCACTGGTCCAATGGTGTCCTACCCATTGGCTGCTCTGTGATCCCTGAGGTAGATTAGTATAGGGGAAGGGCTCTGCACAATTTTAATTAAGAAAATTAATAAAGCTTATCAAACTAGGCTCCCTTTAGAACAGAGTGATCCAACAGAACTTACTATTATATAGAAACACCTTATAACTGTCCAATATGGTAGCCATTTAGCCACATAGCAAGAGTATTAGACAGTACAGGTCTAGAATTTAAACTAAAAGGTAAAACAATAAAGCTGACACAAAGAGAAAAGGAGATATTATGAAAGAGTAACTACAAAATCCTGACAAAGAAATTAGTGTTTAAAGTGGCCTTAGATGCAGTGAGTACACCCGTTTCCATAAGAGACTAAGTATGGTACGTGTAGAAGATTTAGTATTAGTTTCTTTACATGGCAATTTGTGATAGGGAAAAATATCAAATGAAAACCCAAATTAGCTGGTTTCTGTATTTTAAACATAGCTAAGTGTCCCATTATCTTATAAATTAAATTGTAATTATATACCTTTGCTCACAATATACAGTCTCTTACTATAAAAATGGATTTTGTTTTTCATTAACAACAATTATTAAATGGATACTGAACTTCTAGTGAAATCAAAACATAAATCCATATACAGAATTAGAGTTGATTACACAAATGAAAAGTCATCTACAGGGACTTACACATACTTATTACTTGTAGCCAACATCACTTACATACATAAAGCACCATACTAGGATAACCATCTTATAGTGGTTTTTTTTTAACCCCACATTTGTGGGAAACCAAGTTCTTTACTGACAGCAATAACTTCAATTATTTCTTATATTTTCATATTAGCCAAACATTCTTGAATTAGCAATAGACTGTATAAAGAAATCTCATTTATTATCCAAAAAACATTGACTGTATCTTAAGTCAAGATGTTATATATTCAAACAGATCAAAAATCAAATTTCATTAAAAAAACCAATAAAGGAAAATGCTTTAAAAATTCGATTTTAAATTCTGCAGATTTCACTTCTTAAAAATGCAATCTCCAAAAATAAGTTTTTCTAATTTTTAATTAATTTCTTATTCAAGGGCCTTACTAGATCACATGGTAGAATGCTTCTCTTTTAACTCTCAAATACATCTGCATGCAGATTTCAGAATGAACCAGAAAGCTATTTTAAAGAGATATTCCTTCTAATTAAAAAAAAAAAAAACCTCTCAACACTATCAACATAATGAGAAGACAAATACAAGTGAATACAAAGAGTTTTAAAAATAACTAGAAAAATATTTGCAAGATTAATCTTTTATTACAGAACACCTACCATGAGAGACCACTCTTTAACCTTCTGGAAGATCACTCTGCGTCCCTGGGGCATCCATGCCACCAGCACTGTCACAGCTCTTATGGTTAGCCAACAAACATAGAGACCACAGGCAGCTGTGTAGAGCTCATGGATTTTGGCAGTCCCTGTCCAAAATGACATTAACCAACGGCCAGCAAATACTGCAAACAGAAAGGCAAATAACTGAGATATGAGGTTGGATAAAGAAAATTGTGATCTTTAAGTTGTTCTATTAATACTTTCACATTTGGAAAAAGGTAACAATATACAGTATTAATGTCTTCATCAAAAACCAAAGATTTGGTTTTGCACAAATTGATTAAGACACAACCAAAACACAGTAGTCAATAGGGATAAACTGTACTGGGGTACATACTCTATGATTTGCCTTGCCAATTACTGTTTTTTCAGCCTGAAAGGCTTTTTGGGGAAATTGTTGTTTTTACCACCAGATGAAACCATTATCCATATGAGAGGACAAAGGAGAATTTCTTTTCCAGTATTTGTGCTGTAAATACTTTTAATACTTGGGAACATTACAAATAATGTACAATAACTTTCTTCCAATTGGCTCATTCAACAAGACAGAAAACTAAAAGAGGTGGGATACAATGATTTAAAGCCCAGTAATCAAAGAATACCGTAATAATTTTCTTAGAAAAAAACTGAGACCATCCAAATATACAGGAATGTAAAAAACAGATCTGTTGTTAGAAATATATCGTACAGTGTACCCACAACAACTTTTCAGGCAGAAAGAAAGAAACAAACTGTGGTAACGTTCTTTCCATGATTACTTCTCAGTAAGGCTAGAGCAAGACCTACATTTCTAGTGTACGTTTTCCCTATGGATTGCCTTCCTAATACAGTGGTGTCATTTTTGAATATCTGAAAAGAGCTTGTGGCTATCCTGAGCATTTTTCATTTATTCTTTTAACAACCCTGCCCCCTCAATGAGGATATGACCTCTATTTTAAAAGATTATAAATTAAGGCTCACCAAAAGTGTTTTGCCCAAAGTCACACTGGTTAGAGATGAAATCGAATGCATGTCTACATGACAAAGCTTGTGCTCTTGACCACTGAACTACACTGCCTCAAATCAAACTAAACCAGCTCAACAATCAAGTCTTACAAGGCATAATGCTGATAACACAAACTTCTTACAAACTCGCAAAACAACTTGCGTATAAAAATAACTTTTTTTTTTTAAAAGAGGAATTGCTTGAGCTCTCAGTGATGATATTTTATTTATTTATTTACTTATTTAGAGACAGAGTCTCACTTTATCGCCCTTGCTAGAGTGCTGTTTTGTCACAGCTCACAGCAACCTCCAGCTCTTGGACTTAGGCAATATTCTCATGCCTCAACCTCCTGAGTAGCTGGGACTACAGGTGCCTGCCACAATACCCGGGTATTTTTTGTTGCAGTTTAGCTGAGACTGGGTTTGAAGCCATCACCCTCGGTACCAGCACCCTACCCACTGAGCCACAGGTACTGCCCTAAAAATAACTCTTTTGAAGATAAACACTTGGCTTGGCACCTGCAGCTCAAATAGCTAAGGCACCAGCCATATACACCAGAGCTGGTGGATTCGAATCCAGCCGGGGCCTGCCAAACAACCATGACAACTACAACCAAGAAATAGCTGGGCATTATGGCGGGAGCCTATAGTCCCAACTACTTGGGAGGCTAAGGCAAGAGAATTGCTTAAGCCCAGGAGTTGGAGGTTGCTGTGAGCTGTGATGCCACGGCACTCTACCCAGGGCAACAACTTGAGACTCTGTTTTCAAAAAAAAAAAAAAAAAAAGACAAACACTTAGGTATATATATTACATGAATAAACATGCAAGTTCATTTGAAGATATCAAAATCATAACTTCTGTAATAAACATGCAAGTTCATTTGAAGGTATCAAAATTATAACTTCTGTAAAAATATCTAGTGTTCTATACATACTTCTCTAGAGTTTACATTTTTTGGTTTGGGAAATTTTTCATTTGTTTTAAATGTAATGGCCATTTTCTTTTTTGGGGGCTGGGGGGACAGAGTCTCAAGCTGTTACCCTGAGTAGAGTGCCACTGTGTCACAGCTCACAGCAACCTCCAAATCATGGGCTTAAGTGATTCTCTTGCCTCAGCCTCCCTAACAGCTGGGACTACTACAGGCTCCTGCCACAATGCCCAGCTATTTTTTGGTTGTAGTTGTCACTGTTGTTTGGCAGGCCCGGGCTGGATTCAAACCTGCCAGATCCAGTGTATGTAGCTGTAACCCTAGCCACAAAGCTATAGGTGTGGAGCCTAATGATCATTTTCTATTCCATACTTCATATACTTCTTATCAAAAAAGTGTTTTTCAGAAGACAGGGTTAATTTTTAATTTATAGTGACTCAACATCAGTTAAACTGTAGTTCCAGAAAAGTAACCTATGGGAACTAAATATCTAATATGAGTCTAAGCACGTCTTTAATTAAAAATAACTGTTCTTTCCACTAAATGGTGGAACTAGATAAAAGGAAAATACTTAGTTAACAATGTTTAAAAAAACTAAATTACTCTTACTGCCAAATTCAAGTACTAACTACGTTTCCCAGCCAGGTGCAGCAGCACACACTTGTTAATCTCATCACTTTGGGAAACCCACGCAGGAACACTGCTTGAGCCCAGGGGTTCAAGACTAGCCTGAGCAACATAACAAAACCCTGTCCTAGGAAAATAAAAATAATTAGCTGGGGATGGTGGCATGCACCTATAGTCTTTGGTACTTGGGAGGCTGAAGCAGGAGCATCACCGAAGCCCAGGAATTCAAGGCTGCAGTGAGTTATGAACATACCACTACATTCTAGCCTGGATGACATAGCAAGACCCTCTTTTTTTTTTTGGAGTCTTCCTCTGTCACCCTGGGTACAGTGCCTTGGTGTCACAGCAACCTCAAACTCTTGGGATTAAGCATTTCTTGCCTCAGCCTCACAAGTAACTAGGATTAAAGGTATATGCCACTACACCTGGCTTGTTTTTCTATTTTTAGTAGAGACAAGGTCTTGCTCTTGCTCAGGGTGTTCTTGAATTCCTGAGCTCAAGTGATCTTCCTGCCTCAGCCTCCTAGAGTGCTAGGAATATAGGCATGAGCCACCATGCCTGGCCAAGACCCTGTCTCTTAAAAAAACAAGCAAAAACCTACTAGGTTTCCTTCTTTTGTTGAAAATTTTCTTAATACTTCTGATAAAAACATGATAACGGACCATAAAACCACAAATATAAAACTGTCCTAAGTTCAAAAACTAAGTTTTCTCAGAAATGTTTACTACATTACATTCAGATGGTTAAACAGACTGTCATTTTAACAGCTGTGATCCAAACAGTAGCAAGCTTAAGAGCAAAGTTCTAAAGGTCAAATCATTATATAGAAGAAAAAAATCAGTATTTTTACCAGTTTAAGGTAAAATCACAATTCCAACACATTAGAAAATATTCTTTTTTTAGAAATAACAATGGAAATTAATTTCTTTTTTTTTGAGACACAGTCTCAAGCTGTTGCCCTGGGTAGAGTGCCGTGGCATCACAGCTCACAGCAACATCAAACTCCTGGGCTTAAGTGATTCTCCTGCCTCAGCCTCCCAAGTGGCTGGGACTACACCTGCCATAACACCCAGCTATTTCTTGGTTGTAGTTGTCACTGGTGTTTGGCAGGCCAGGCTGGATTTGAAACCGCCAGCTCTGGTGTATGTGGCTGGCACCCTAGCCGCTTGAGCCACAGGTGCCAAACCAAAATTAATTTTCTTAATTGCTCTTTCCCAGAGTTACCCCTCGATACAAATTTGATGCATAAAATTATAGTGGGTTAGTGTAATAATCAAGACAATAAATCAATATACATTTATGTCTGATGAAGAGCTGAAAATTATCTTCCACTTATTGATTACTGAAGTGGTTAACATGTATTAATGTGATTTAGAAGTTTCTGGCTGGATATAACAATAAAGGTGCAGCAGGGGAAAAAACAAACTGTTTTGGCACTTTGTCAATGCCTTGGACTCCACCCCCATTTATCCCTGGTCTTTGGAGAAATCACTGACAAGCTACTATATACAACCCTATCATCCACAGTGTCTTATTAAATGAAAAAACATTTAGTTGAAATTTCCAACAAACCCAACACCATAGAAGATTTGTATTTGTGAATACCACAAAATAAAGGGAAAATAGTCTGGCTTCATAATGTAATGTTCTCTAGCAACAGTATGCAAATAGACTGGAGAGATAATTACATAATGAGGACAAACATAATAAACATCAAAAGACTTGGAAAAAAACTTCAATCATACAGATGACTTTTTGAAAACCAGTACTATTATAAGACAGACAATATCCATGACAAGACCATCAGCACTTTTTCTAAAAGCCAATCATATGTTTTCCTCTTGTGCTCCAATATAAATCAATCTAGTAAGCTGGAGAGCTCTAAATGATCCAATATCCCATATTCAATCAAATAAATCTGAGAGGAAAACTATCTCAAGTTTATATCTGATGGGAAAAAAAAAATCACTTCAGCAATATATTAACTTTAAAAAAAAACAGTATTAAAGATGCTATCAGCTGAAAGCTAGGTCAAGCTCATACCTGGTAAAGTAAGGCAGATGAGACTGGCAATCAGTAATGTTACACACATGAAGACAATCAACAGAAATATCTGCAAGGTAAAACATAAAGAGTACATAAATGGTTCATGGTGCTCAATGTATTATACGATAACCGTCAAAAAATCAATACAATTTTCCCATTATAAAGAAACTGCCTGTATATTTCCAGATTTCCTTCAATTTCATGGAAAAGAGAAATTCTTATTTTAGGTAAAGTACCTACAATTTAGACCAAAAGGAAAGTAAATGTCCATCCTCACATCATCAGATACATCCACAAGTTAACAAATATAAAGTGCCAAATAAAATGTACACACATTTTAAGAAATAGACTGTACTAAAAGTATAATATATACCAATAACAAAAGATGAATACAAGTCACCTTTGAGCACCTCTTGCAATTGTATTACAATTTTATAGTTTTTTCCTTTCTTAAAATGTGTATACATATTTTTGGCATGCTCTGTATTTTTAATCAGAGAGCATTAAAACAAAACACATTTGGCTTAAATTTTCCCTCATTAATTAAAACAACACATTACAAACTAAAAATATTCACCTTTTCATCAAATATTGTTCTCCAATTAGAATGTTCTGTGATGACAAAAATGTCTAGATACTCGTTGTCCAACACAGCAGCTAGCCACCAGCCAGCCACATGTGGCTACTGAGCATTTGACATGTGTTCCACGTAAGTAATGAAATTTTTAATTTTAATGGAAATATAAATAGCCACATAAGCTAGTGCTCCTGTATTGAGAAGTGCAGATAAAAAGATATTACACAGAGAGGAAGGAATGGTTTTCCTGGAACAAACAACAGGCAGCAACTGTGGCTTGCCTCCCACCTTACATTATAGGTAGCTGCAACTCCTCAAGACTAGAGTGTGGAGCTCTGGTGGGAAGCCTGAAAAGGACAGATGACAAAACTGAGATTTAGAGGTGTTTGTCAGCTTTGACTATGTGAAAAATCCATTACTGATTCTGTCTCTGTTCTGGCCAAAAAGTACCTTTTGCTCAGAAGGCTTTTTTTATCTCTTGAGAGCTGAGAAGGCTGAGTAAAGATCAGAGAAAAATAAAAAAGGAGCTAAGAGGTCTGCTTTCAAGATTAAGAGATAAGGGAAAAGACAATCCTGATGTTTTCCAAGTTCTCTGCCCCAAAACATTTGTTCCTCAGGAGGACAAAGCAGCATAAAAACAATTCAGTGGATGCTGACTAGTGCAGAGATGGCAGGTACTCAAAGCACTCCACTATCTGGTTCCTGCCCATCCAAAAGCCTCATCTCCTACTGCTCCTCTCACTCCTCTGGTTATCCCCTCACCAACTCCAGGATACATCACACCCTCTAAGTATATTCAGCCACCTGCAGCTCTAAGCCTATCGTGTTTTATGTCCCCTTGTCCTGGCATATGCCTAGAATGTCCTCCCCACTTCCTTTTATCTGTTTTCTCTGCCTGGCCTCTCAACTTTTAAGACAGTTCAGGTACCACCTTCTCCATGAAGACTCCTTTGGGCCCATACTAAGAACCAGTGGCCCCTGCCTGAAGCAGTCACAGCACCTTCTATAAACAACTACCATGAGAACCCAAATCTGCCACCATTTTTCTCATCTTTTCAAGAGATTATAAGCTGTCTATACCCACACAGACACCAAAAATATGGCTATTTATGACTGAATGAATGGACTCACTTAATCTACAAGTAATCCACAAATGTATAACAATTTTTATAAAAAAGAAAGAAAGAAACGGAAGCTGAAAGGTTAAATAATCTGCCCAAGTTTCAAAATGATGTAACTCATAATCCCATATTATTATTAAAGGACATATAAAATACATGAGACTGGGGCATGGTGGCTCACACCTGTAATCCTAGCACTCTGGGTGGATTGCCTGAGCTACGGGTTTGAGACTAGCCTGAGCAAAAGCAAGACCTCATCTCTAAAAATAGCCAGGCCTTGTGGTGGGTGCCTATAGTCCCAGCTACTCGGGAGGCGGAGGCAAGAGAATCGCTTGAGCCCAAGAGTTTGAGGTTGCTGCAAGCTGTGATGCCACAGCACTCTACTGAAGGCAACAAAGTGAGACTATCCCCCCGCAAAAAATAAAAATCAAACTGTAAATGAATAATGACTTTATTGTAATCATACAGCACTCATCAGTTTACACTTCTGACAAAATTCTGAATCACTCTGCAGTCATTTAGTAGGAATTAAGGGGGAAAAATATGTCAAAATACTCAGGTCTATGGTTCCTGACACACAACAAGCGTACAAATAATGTTAGTTTATTCTACAGGTTTTTTTTCCCTCCTAAACAGAGAGTAAGAGTCTATGGAATCCCAACTCTATGACCTATTTCTAAAATGTGATCAACTTACTTGGTCATTTACATATATATGTTATATAATGAAGGTAATAAAACACGGGTTTCTTGTCAGGAATGTGTAAGACATACCTACACAGAGGACTGTGTAGCACTATGCTAACAGTACCAGTCGTTGATAGAAATTTGAAAAAACTATTTCTGGTTAGGTCTGTATAGTACTTACCCTGAGTGGAAAATTTAAAGGCCGGCGGTAAGGCTGAAAGCCAACAGGCCCTCCCTGCTGGAGTATGGCTTGGTGAGCTGCATGCAGGCCTTCCCCCACCACAGGAATAGCATTGTTATTTCGAGCATGCTGGTTATTGTTGACTTGTTGATTTGCACTGTTCTCATTTTCTTCCTGATCTCCCAATAAATAGGAATGAAGATCCCTGTGCAAAAATTACATCAGTGAAACATCTTACTTTAGGTAAGAATGAAACTGAGACTTATTTTCTTAATATTTACTACACAAGGTAAACATACACATAGAACCTGTACATAGTATTATTACCAAACCCTGTTGGTACCTGGTTGAAATTAAACTTTTCTAAATTTAATGTTAGTTAACGTATAGAATATCCCATAGATTCCATCAATTGTTTAATTCCAAAGATTCAACTTTTAAATAAGCATATAAAGCTTGAAAAATAAACGCAGCATATCCACTAAACAAAATGATTGAGGAAACCAAACCTCAGAAGTTATTTATCCAGTTCTAAGCTCTAAATAAAAGTTGGTATTTTTTTATGCATTAAAATGTTTTTACCCCATATTATATAGTATAAAAAAAACTGGACTAGAAACAAACTTCATACAAAATGGCAAAAACATGCATACATTCTCTTTAAGAGATGGACAGTAAGAAAAGTGTTTTAAATTTTAGAAATAAGTATTATACACACCTGTAGATATTACTAAATTATCTCTTATTAAAACTGATTTCTTCTTAAGTAGGGCATGGGACATAATTTTTCCAGAAAGGTCAGTCAATGGACACAGTGACATGTATGCCTAGGGAATGAGTTGTCCATACTTACAGCAAATACCCAGCGGTCACAGTCCATGCCCGCACCAGCCCCTTCAGCCACTGCCTGGTGTGTCCTTGCTCAAGTAATGCTGGCAAGACAACCTGCAGCAGAAGCAGCTCAAGGGACAGTTCACTCACTGGAGCATCGCTAAGACAATTATAAAGAGTCAGAATTGATAATGTGAATTCCACTTTCCAATATAACTATACAATATTAAATATAAATAACTCCCTGTCCCTATTATCTCTCCTCCCACTCTCTAGAACTCAGGCTCTCCCCATAAGTCCACCAAAATTGTTTGTGTTAAGTGTCACCAATAACTTTTTTTTTTTTTTTTTAGAGACAAGAGTCTCACTTTATTGCCCTTGGTAGAGTGCCATTGCATCATAGCTCACAGCAACCTCCAGCTCTTGGGCTTAGGCGATTCTCTTGCCTCAGCCTCCCAAGCAGCTGGGACTACAGGCGCCCGCCACAATGTCCGGCTATTTTTTTTTGTTGTTGCAATTTGGCCGGGGCTGGGTTTGAACCCATGCCACCCTCAGTATATGAGGCTGGCGCCCTACTCACTGAACCATAGGTGCTGCCATCAATAATTTTTTGTTAAAGTGATGGCCAGGTATTGATTTTTCACCTCACCTATGATACTAGTAACACGTTACTCAACTGGTCCCTCCTTGCTCTTCAAAACACTTTCTCCTTGAACAGCTTCCTAAAGGGCCCCAGGCTCTGTCCTCTCTTCTCTCATCTATACTGACTCTGAATGAATGTGACCCTCATATACCTTCTAAAATGACCTATCTCCTCCTCAGGCATCTTGCTAACCCTAACTTGTGTATTCAATATGCCAAATCAACATTTCACATCAACAAGTGCTAGACGTCTAACACTGAGCACTTTCAACAAGTGCTAGACGTCTAACATTGAGCACTTTCGATATCAAATTCCCAATATTCCCTTTAATCCTATTCCTGCCACAATCATCCCCAACTCAGAAAATGGCAGCTCCATCCTTCCAAGTGCTCAAGACAGAAACTTTGATCCTTGACTCCTTTCTTTACACCTCACATCCAAATAGCTAGAGAATCTTTTTGAGTGTACCATAATAACATCCTAAACCCTAACCATTTCTTATGACCTCCACTGGCCATCCTCACCTCTCACCAAGATCAAGGTTCTGTCCTCCTAGCTGGCTTTCATTTTCTGACCTGGTCACTCCAACCCAGTTTCTTCTCATCATAGCAGCCAAATGATCCTCTTCAAACCTAAGTTAGATCACTCCTTTGTCATAGTTTTCTTAGAGTTTTCCAACTCACTTAAGTAAAAGTCAAAGTGCCTACAATAGCCCATGAGGCTCTAGGAGGCTTTCCTCTCTGACTTCATAGTCAACTACTTTGCCTACCCCCTTCTATTCCAGACAAACTGGCCTCCCTGCCACTACTCTAACAGACCTCAGTGCTGCTGCAACTACCTCCTACAATGGGATCCACATGGCTCACTCTCTCTCCTTTTTTTTTTTTTAAGAGACAGTTTCACTTTGTTGCCCTCGGTAGAGTGCCGTGGCACATGGCTCACTCTTATCACCCCTTTCAAGGCTCTGCTCATCTGTCATCCTCTCAGATCTTCACCATTATTCCTAAATTGTAACCTCATCCTAACCACTCTCTTTACCTCCTCTCTCTATTGTTTTCCATAGCTCTTAGGACCATTTGGCTTACTATATATATTATTTATTTTAATGTCTGTCTCCCCTATAAAAATGTAAGCTCCACTAGAGCAGAGATTCTTTTTCTTGATTCTGTTTTATTTACTGTTATATCCCCAGTGCACAGAAAGTACCTGGCATGTAATGGGTTCTCAATTTAGCTGAATAGAAGAACAGACTAAATGCTACCAGATAGCACAAAAACTACTAAAGTTCTAGGGATAAGTAACTAGTACAACTGATTTTTCTCAGGAACATACAAAGCTACACCCATGTTTCCTGGTTCTCATTACAACTGGATTCAATATACCACTTGATCTAAAGGTAAAATTTAGAGAACCGTCCTCCAAATCTACAATAATCCTAAGTATAGAAAAATAAGGTTTTATTACAAAAGAGTAACTAAAGAGCCATTAAATTGATGCTACATTTTAAATTACTTACTACCACTTTTTCTGCCACTTTAAGGAACCAGACTATACATACTACTGGCCCATTCTAATTTAATGATATACAAATTTGAGATTTTACTTTATGTTCAATAAACCTTTCATTTTTGAACAATCATGTTCTTGTGCAAAACATTAGGATCCAAATGAGATGTGATTTCTGCCATGTTCAATGAAACAAGTATTTATAAATAATGCAAGAGGTGCTATAAAAAGAGATAAGTGTTAAAACAACGGAGACATTTAAAGGATGGAATGACAATTTACTCTAATTAGGGCAAATAAAACATTAATCTGGATTCTGGGAAAGAATATCAAAGCTTGTCGTGGAACATGGAGAGGACACTACAAACACAGAGTGAAAGACAAGAACAGCTAAGCAATGTAGGGGAGACTCAGAGGCACTGCAGCATGGCAGGCAAGAAGAAGTCGAGTCAAACAACACTGGGATGAGATGGTGGAAAGGTGGAGTAAGACTATGCCATGCCTGTATGTTATTCTTAGTGACCTGGGTATTGCTGTGTATGCTATGGAGGAACTACTGACAATGTTTAAACCAAGGAGTGAAACAGATTTTTAGAAAACCTAAAGGCAGAGACACTAAGGATGGATTATAAACATAGAGCAAGAAAAAGGTCTACATTAAGTGGCAAATCAAAAGTTGGATTAGTAAGAGATTTTAGGGAATTAGAATTAACAAGACTTAAAAGACTAACTACAATTTGAAGAAGAAATCTTTCATTTGCCTGGAATATAATAACCAGGGTGGGAATAGTGCAAATCCTTAAGAAAGGGAATATAAGATGAATGGTAGAAGTTTTTAGGTGACTTAAAGTTTTCAAAGCAAAAAATATTTCTCATCTATAAGCCTTGTATCCTACTTTTAATCCATAATTAAATGTGCAACTTTGGCTTTATTCATCGCAATGTATTTTTCAAAATAAAGATGATACTGTTCATACATTCCCAATAGGTATAGTAAAACACTTCAATGCTGGACAAATGCATACGTTATTTGCAGAAAAATAAATGTCATCCACTGGAAAACATAAGTGCTAAACTATGATCTAGAATATAGCAAAATTTAACTGTCAGATGATTTCTAATAATATCTATAAGAAATTAATGTTTTACATGTTTAGAATAATGGGAATATCAAATTCCTAACAGAATTAATTAATAAAGATAGCCTGAATTTTCAAAACTTACCTGTAGAGCATGACATTATATGGAAGAAAATTAGGCAGCAGACTCTTAATAATACGTATAGGAAGCCAAAGCATCAGGAGGACAATGGAGCCAAAGACGATCTGCAGTAGGAAACCGCACAAGACACCACTGTAAGAGTCACTCATGCCTAGGAAAGACAGGCACACACCAGAACACACCCACCCAATATGCAGCCCAGGCCTAGATCCACCCAGAGCCCAGGCATTTCCACTTTACACACTATCCTGGGGTCACTTTGTATAAAAATGTGTTTCTGAGATGGTTGCTCCTCTCAATGTGAAGATAGAAGGGCTAAACCAGGAGCCATAAAGGATAATCACTGCATGGCATGTAAAGAGAGAGCTAGAAACTTACAATGAAGGAACGAAAATACCTGCAACTTAATAAATCAATAACTATCTAAGACATAGCCCACATTAATGGCTATAAAAGTTTCAAAGGGCATAATTTGCATTTAGAATTTTATTTTAGGAAAACTTAGATTTAACTAGGTAATTTCTCCTTCCAGGTGGTGAAGAAACTTTGGGATACTTCTGTGGAGAGTTTAATTCAGAAGCCATTACTAAGTCTACCTTGGTTTAATGCAAACTAAATATAACTCGATAACTGTAATTTGGCAATGAATTATACTACTACACAACTATAAGGCATCTTTGTTTTAGTAAACATCACTTTATTTACTTTAACAAAATTACTAATAAAATAGCTACTTGACAACTGAGTTCCATGGGCTTAGATAAATTTAAGTAATTCAATATACTCTACCAGCCCCTTCCTTATGGAAAAAAAACAACAAAAACCAAAAAACACAGCAAAACTAAAGGGCAGCACTCTTTACTCAAAAAAAAAAAAAAAAAAGAAGAAGATCTGCTTACCACTGACAAAATAAATCTTCGGAGATGCCTATAAATAGGCAAGTGGATCATTTCCTGAACTGGATTAAAATCTGGATCATTCAAATTCCTTAGAAACCATAAGACACCAGGTCGAAGTACCTGCAAATATATTTTAAATACTATAAACATTCACCAATGTCTTCAGGTTCTGTATATGAGTTACAAAATTAACAGAAGTATAAAAAATTATTCTGGCATCCAAAATGCAAATGGTTTTCCTGGGAAAGGAACTTATGAAATCATAATTTGTTTGAAAACTATTCCACGTTTGCTGTCCTTTGAAGCTTTTAATCATTAACTGGAAAAAAACATTCATTGAATCCAATTTGTCAAGAAATCTAGACTTCCAAGATGAAAAATAAATAAACTATTACTGTAGTACGTTGTATCACCTGGTGAAAAAGATTATGTTGCAACATATAAACATCCTAAATAGAAGATCTGATTCTTTTTTTTCTTTTTTATGACACAGTCTCATTATGTCACCCTGATAGAGGGCCATGGCATCATAGTTCATAGCAACCTCAAATTCTTGGGCTCAAGCGATCCTTTTGCCTCAGCCTCCCAAGTAGGTGGAATTATAGGCGCCCACCACAATGCCCAGCTAGTTTTTTCTGTTTTTGGTAGAGACGGGGTCTCATTCTTTCTCAGGGTGGTCTCAAACTCCTGAGCTTAAGCAATCCACCTGCTTAAGCCTCCCAGAATGCTAGGATTATAGGCATAAGCCGCCACACCTGGCTTAGGATTCTATATTAACAAAAAACTACTATGCTGATAAAATGAAAAATTCATTATAAAACATTCATCACCAAACAATATAATTTCAAGTTCACATGCAATTACAACTTTTAATAACACATTACTGTACTTTCCTTATTCTCAATCATTTATTTCAAAGAAAGAACATAAGCTGTGTTTGCAAATAATTTACTTATACTATAAAAATCTAGAGAATGTCTTGGTCCCTGATAGCATCTCCCCTCATCCTCAAATCTTCCAAAGACCAAGGGATACCAAGAATGGCATTCAGCCTTTGTTCCCACTGGAACTGTCAGCCTACTTCTTCCTGCCCTGCACACCTCCATTACCAGTCTCAGTGGAATAAACTGATTTGTTCAATGGCTGGATTCATTCCCAGGCTATAAAACTGAGAACAGGAATCAAGCCTTTCTTCTTCACCCAGCATACAGTATAGTGTCTGGCATATAATGAGCATTCAGTGATATCTGGGGAACTATTCAGCTAAGATGTGTACGTATCAAATAGTAATCTTCTTTCATCATCTTCAAATCAGTGAGAACCAGATTCCAAAAACAAGAATAGTAAAGTGACCCACATGGCAAGTGAACTGAAGGACCCTCCCTGTAATTCTATACTTCAGGTACCTGCTTCCAAACCATTTTTACATGTTCAATCCTGCAAAACTGTCATAATGTGGAGGGTAACCACATTACCGTCCCTTGAGTGAAACCTGAGATAGGCTTCTATCTCTCACAAAATTTCAAGAGTTTGTATTAGAAGATGGCTATAATAGATACCAAGTAAAACAACTGCTCTTATTTAATCTTTTTCTCTCAGTGTCATCACCTTTCTAACTCATAATTGATTACAGATGTAAATACTAAAACGTGCCAATTTTTGAGATAACTAAAAATAGTTTAAAGCAGTCAAGCCAAAATTCCCTACCAGTTATTCCCTCTTAGAATAAAATTGCAGAGAATATGGTTTAATGAGGTAATATGGTTTAGTTGGGTAATCATCATATTGAGGGATAATTGGTGGTAAAAGCAAAAGTCCTTTTCATAGCATCAGCATTTCCCTCTATTTCCTCTGGAATTCACTGGTCAAGTAGCTGTGGGTAAGACTTACCTCTCTTAGTAACAGAATGAAGGAAGCAAAGTAGAAGACATACACCATTCCCACTAGCCAATGCAGAAACATGGTAGTACCTGGAGCCGACTGAAAGCTCAGTTCTCTATCTTTCAGAGTAGCATCAAACATTTCCTAAGCCAAAAGAGAACAGGTAAGAGATACCATGTACATTTGCCAAATTAACATTTGCAACTTTTAGGAAGTGAGTAAATCACTATGTATCTAAGGTGTGTTATTCTAGGACTATAGTTCTTTTAATGCCCCTGGACTCTCATGTACCACAGGACTCTATTTAAAATATCAGATACTACTTTAAAGAAGTACATAATATACAATTTTTCAAATATAAAGAATGATAAACAAGGGGCTAGGCACAGTGGCTCACACCTATAATCCCAGCACTCTGGGAGGCCAAGGTGGGTGGACTGCTTGAGCTCAGGAGTTCGAGACCAGTCTGAGCAACAGTGAGACCCCATATCTAAAAAAAATAGCTGGGCATTGTGGCGGGTGCCTGTAGTACCAAGCTACTTGGAAGGCTGAAGTAAGAGAATTGCTTGAGCCCAGGAGTTTGAGATAGCTATGAGCTATGTCACCACAGCACTCTACCAGGGTCAAGAAAGTGAGACTCTGTCTCTAAAAAGAAAGACAAAAGAATGATAAACCAGTTGGTAAGAGCTTTACTAACGTGAATTCTGTGAAAGAACCACTTTTGATTAATACAAGAGCTTCTGTTCTTGGTTATAGGTCTGTACTTCTGAGATGTTTTAACACTAAGGTATGGGGGTAATGTAGCTTTTCTACATATATTTTTGAAAAATCAAAAACTCATAATCACAAATAGGCATTAAAGATTATCATCAAGGCTGAATATCTTTTTTTTTTTTTAAGACAGAGCCTCAAGCTGTCACCTTGGGTAGAGTGCTGTGACATCACAGCTCACAGCAACCTCCAACTCCTGGGCTCAAGTGAGTCTCCTGCCTCTGCCTCCCAAGTAGCTGGGACTATAGGTGCCCACCACAATGCCTGGCTATTTTTGGTTGCAGCCATCAGGCTGGATTTGAACCTGCCAACTCAGGTGTATGTGGCTGGCGCCTTAGCCGCTTGAGCCACAGGTGCCGAGCCCTGAATATCTTTTTTAAAACAAATCGTTAGAGTTTCCCTATCGAATTACTGTGTATGTATATGTGTTTTGGCATTATCATAAAATTTAGAACAAAATGTGTAATTTACTTTCCTTTAAAAGACCTTATCCTGAAAACTTCCCTTTTTTTAAGGCTTAAAATTATGACTTTATATAATAATGAATACTCAACTTACCAGTGAACAGATATCCAGCCACCAACCACAAATGAGAGGGAATACTCCAATTTCTACTACCACTAACAAAGAAACCTTCAATGAAAATAAGGGTCATTAATATCTTCCAAATGTCGCAGAAATAGTTTTAGTTTTAACTTATAACAGGAATTACCTTAACGACAATATAGCAGACTCCTAGTAAGCGACGAGACCTATGAAATTTAACAAGAGTTGCCAAGCCCTACAGCATCTAGTCAAGGAAAAACTGAGTGTTTAAAGACACAATGAGACAGGTTACTTAATATTTTTTGACAGAACAATTTATTTCACATTTTGTCCACACTCACCCTTATTACAAATACCTATAACTTTTACCAAAACAAGGAGAGAGAAAATTTTGCCATTAATGAGAACAATTCTTTTTTTTTTTTTTTT